GGGGGGGGGGGGGGAGGAGCAACATAATGCAACTCAATCATTTGTAGCCATGAAACAGCACTACCGCGTACATACTCATTTAATTCACGAGTAATGTTATATCAATGAATTGGTAGTCTATCACTTTAATTACAATCGGAGAATTTCCAAGAGATCAACATTACATTAAACAAGGCCTTGTGAAATACATAGTCTTATTTAGTGCCTTCCTTCGATAATAAAATTTGGGATTTTTTAGATCTTTGAACAGTGAATTTTCACACATTGAAATCTCATTGTAACTATACACAGCAGCATTTAACGCCTGCTACAAGCACATCACTGAATCTTTCCCCTCATTCAAATGGCAGCTTCTCAAACAGTGCCCCTGAGACCAGAGATGTGAACTTAAAAAGGGGTGGGTGGGTAACTCAGCAAAAAGCTAAAAATATTCATCTTGCTGCCATACCACAAAAGCTCGCATAAAGAAGCCAAAAACCTGAAGTAATATAGTTCGAAGATCTGCCTCTAGGCAGCGTGTTTTCCATTCTCATGTTAATAATCACGATAATGGCGCTCTTTTCATTCTAATGCAGATTTTACATTTCCTTTTTACATTTCCTGATGCATCATAAAAAAAAAAAAAAAAGACAAAACCAAAAAACCAACCCCAAAAACCAAAACAAAAAAACCCCCAAACCCCCACCAAACATATGGCTTCCAAGGCTTTAATTTACAAAGACTTTTTTAGTCTTAGGTTAAGATTTTATAATATTAAATACCAGTTATGCAGTACACAAATGCCACGCTCATAAGAATATTTAGTTATATATGGGAATAAACCCTTTAATTTTTAATAATGTCTGAAATTATCTGAATGCCTAGTATGAATTTGGAGGGAACAGTTCGATCCGTATCCTCATTCCTCTGTGGAACATAGACTGCACTGATATTAAGCTGCACAGGTTCCTCATTTGTCTTGTCTGATATGCTGAAATATTTTATTTATTCCATAATACTGTTAAATTTTCCAAGCAGAAGGATTTTCACTGCTTATCTTCTGAGATTAATCTACAGAATCAGAGATTTCATCATTAGGCCATTTCTCTTGCTGCAATTTCATGCTATTTGTGGCTATAACCCTTTTGGAATGACCTATGCAGTGTTTTCCCTCCTTTGCTGTTTGGTTGGTTTTGTTTGGGTTTTTTTGGTTTTTTTCATGCTTCACTTGCTATACACCCTACAGTTTTACAGAAAGGCTGCATTTCAAAGAAAGCTGAAAAGCCTGACAAGACTGCATGTGAATTGCTGTGGTGCATCACTAAACCACAGCCATAATGTTTTTAACTACTCAATAACCTCAGAGTAGTTCAGAGCAGAGCACCACAGGCAGTGGCAAAGCTGAGCAATTTAATATTAAAAAAAAATATATATTTTTCAGTTCCAAGTTGCACAACATATACAAAGCAAGCCATGTTTGCACTTTACCTAAAGCCAGCCAAACGCACCGTGCAATGTTATTCATGGAGGGGGATAGGGGAGGAATTAGTTTCCCCACTCCTTTTCATTAAGCTTTTGCTCTCCTCCTTGTCCCAGCAGCATCAAGCAGAGGACACGGGTGAGCTGCTGATGCCCCACACCTTCTCTGTGCTGGCAGTGGCAGTTCTCAGTGCACAGGAGCAGCCTGCCTGGGCTTGCACTCCCACCTCACTCAGCTCCAGGTGCTCCACGAGATGGAGGTGAGTCCAAAACTGGGAGTATTTCATGGATTGCTACCGTAGTTAGTGTAGACTGCATGTGTCACCACCTGGTTATTCAACCTACTTGCTCCCACCACTGAACATACACACTTATCTCAGAGGCATTGATAAAGGGCCTCCCTCTCTTCAGGTCATGGCAGCCCATAGCATTCGAGAACAGCTCAGTGCAAACACCCCGAGATACTAGTTCAACTCTGCAGAGATGCTACAGTAACAAAAATGACTGCATACAGATTTGCAGAAACACATATAGTATGACACAGATTTGCAGAAACTTGTAGTACGACACACGGCCCCTTGTTCTTACCCCAGGAGATTTCAAGTCTCTACTACACAAGGGAAGGTCAGAGGTTCTGAACAAGACAGTTTGGATGCAGGGTTGTTTTTTTTTTTTTTTTAATGTTCAAGGAAAATCCATTGGCTTGCCTACTCTTAATCCTGTCTAAAGAAATACCTGACCTGCTTTTGCTGATGTTTCTCCAGAAAAATTTAGTATAAAATAAATGGCTCACATGTAAAACTTCAGTGCAGATGCTTAAAGTTCAGCAGAACTATGATTAATTTAATATAAGGAGCAATTTAGTAGCAGGGTGTGTTTCTATGTACGTGGCACCACCTTGCACATCCCAGTCCCTTATTTCTCGCTGCTTTAGAGATCTTTCTAAAGAAATATTTCACAGTCCTGTAAAGTGTTGAGTGCATGGGTTCTAGTCCAAAACCAATTAATCATTTGGATTATCCACATGGATAAAAAAACTAAACTTTTTTTTTTTTTAAATATTAGGATCAGATCACTCAAAATGTAACTTAAGGTTCTGGGTCCTGATTCAAGCAAGCAGAAGTCATTTGCACCTCTGCGCTCTCTCTCTTCTGGAAGACAGCATTTCTTCAGAGGCCAAAGGCAATGCCGTGAGGAGAATCAGATGGTGATCTCCAATCATACAAAATACTATTTTAACGAATTCCTCGTTTATTCTTGGAATTATTCCACTCAGTTACCCAAGGGTCCAACACTGAGAAGCGAGTACTTGAATCAGCCTGATTCCTAACGCTGCCGTTACTGATGTCCACAGGCCAGGCTCTGAGCCGTGCACATTTACATCCCACAGTTTTTCCTCATATGTCACCTTCACTATTTTTGCCATCACTGATTTTTTTTCTGAATTTCATCTATCAGCGTCTTGTGCAATACAAGAGTACCAGAGCTGTGACACCCTCCTCAGATGGGCAGCCTCTCAGCATGGCCTTGCATTCACTTGAAGCAGCTGCTCTTTCATTACCCTCCCTTTGAAGGTCATGTGGGCAAGGTCCTGTGAAGTGACACCCCTGGAAGAGCTCTGGGCCCAGTCCCAGAAAAACTTCACAGGGCTTCTCATCTATGAGAATGAAGTGTTTTCTCTGTTTTGTTTCTCTTATTTTCTTCCCTTCTTTAATGGTTGGGTCGCCATTTTTTCAATCCAGGTGGACAGTGGTCATGTCCACAACTGTTGCATCTCAGGCTAGAGAGACACCCAGTGTGCTCTTTTTCTTTTATGATCAGTAAAGCCTCATTTTAAGACTACCCAGTTACTGTCCTTTTCACTGGGGGGTAGGGCTGGGGGTTCATTCCTGTAATGAGACAAAAAAAAAAATTATATTTTTCCAACTGAGCTTTTGGGTTTTGTTGTTGCAGCAAGACCTTGGGACCACCTTACCTGTTGATGCTGCTAACCACTTAAAGAAAAACAGCCATCAATTTATGGATGCCCATTTTGGATTATGTACATCAATTTCAAGTTTGGGAAGAGGAGTGAACCTCAGACTGATCACCTGAATAATACAACCCTCAACATTTCTCCCACCGATTCCTGACCTAGACCATCTTGTGTCTTAAGGTAGGGGCTGAGAGGTAAGGCAACCACAAGAGAGTTATCACTTACTCTTGAAATCCATGCTTCTAAATTTAATGGTTTGTTGTCTATCTTTTCTTACCACGAAGATCATGTAACATTAAAAGAATATCAGCTATGTTGTATCGTTAAAACTTGTGTTTGGATAATTAAAGGCAGTTTTAAAATGTAAACCAGTATACTGTTTATATCAGTCACAACAGGATGATTTCTTCCCTACTCAAAAGACTGCATTCAGCCTTGCTAAGAAGCCATCACTGTCACTGCCAGGACCACCTGCCTTGGTGGTATTTTACTCCTGGGGAAGTGGCCCCCATAAATCAATGCATCAACAATATACTAAGACAGCATGATTCAGGAAGCAGCTAGATAAAGAGACTCTGGACTTGCCTATTATAGTCACCATAAAAGCTCATCCATTTTTCCATCAGCTTTTTGACAGCAAAGCTTAAGTTGGAGTTTTATGCTGAGAGACAGAATTCATCTTTAAATTGTGTGCCACAATAGCTATGGAGAACCAGTTCTCCATGAACCTAGGCACCGAAGAAATCAATAATTCCCATTTGTTTTGTAAGGAAACCATGAACTTACTGTGGATTTATATCTGGATTAATCCTTTTCAGCTCCATGATGTCATCTATAGTTTTCTCAATAGCATCAGGGTGAACACTTACTGAAGATTGCAGCCGCTAAAAAGAGGTTTTAAAGACATATTAATTCTTACGGAAGCTATTAATTCAACAGAAGTTAACAATGGTGAATTTGATACCCAAAAGCTTCTAGATTAAGAGCCCAGAAGACCCAATTCAATATATATGCACACCTTTCCAGTCTATTCAATCCTACTGACTGGTTTCAGAGCACTAGCCCTATAAGAACTCGAGTCACTTTGCCATGCCCTTGTAGTCAGTCTATTGCATTTCTGTGGCAGCTGCCAGTGAAGATGATCTGCACTGAAGCCTTTGATCAAGAAGCAGCTTCAGACCATCTGCCTAATTATACTGGAATTGCTAGCCTTCATTTGACATCCCCTCTCCCAACACGTTGCAGTAACACAGTAAAACATTTTTCCTTTCTCTTGCATGTCCTTGCACTTTGTAGACATGCCCCAGAAGTTCAGTATTCAAAAATCAACACGCCTTCCAAAAAATTAAGAGCTTGAACTTTGTGGTGCTTTGTCTCAAAACTACACAATTGCTTAAATGCAGGGTTTTAAATAAGATTCTGCCTTTTTGTTTGTGCTAGAAGTACATTTGGAAGCACCATGCTGAACTATGAGCTATGCGACATCATTTTTGCTAATGCTGAGGTAAGCTTTTAAACATCAATGATTCTCATGCCAAAGAGAAATGAACAGCTGAATGATGCTATTTAACATATACACAAATGCTTTGTGAAAAGAACTTAGGTTAGCACAACCAATGCTACAGTGAAAGGATGAAGTGACAGAGGCTCTTCTCCATTATCATATTTAAAAGGAAAGCAGAAAACAAAGTTGTCTTGGCTATCTAGGTACTGCTGCCTTCAGTCTCTTTTATCCCTGCTTTCCAGACCAAAACACCTGAGGTGTAAAGCGTGTGACTGGCTGCAGATTACAGAAATTCTGAGACAGGATGAGGAATCAAGCCAAGAAACCCCAAATTACAACACAACACATCACCCTCGTCGTCTCCACCATGGCCTGTTGCCTCCTCGATTCCATCAGTGCCACAGCATGCCTGTCCCTGGGGCACAGGACACGCTCCCTGACTTTGAAAGATCACCTGCTATTGCGGACATAAGACCCTCTTCAGTAGAAGACAGTTTTAATGTAAAATCATATCAAATGTTAAAGTGATTTTTTGGGGTGAGCAAATGGCAGACTGAACAAACCAACTGCACAGGACACCATAGAAAAGGTGAATGATGGGATCTTTCACTCACCTTACTTTTTGAACCTTTCAGTGATGCCTCTGCAAGAGAACAGTATTTGAAAGCGTCATGTCAGACAAGCTAAGTTTATATTGGATTCATTTAACAATTTATTTATTTATAAGAATGAAGTCATACTATTTTTAGCACATGCAGAAAGGTAAAAAGGCATGCAGAACTAAGTATTTTGCAGTTACCTATTTTCATAGTTCTAGCAGCTCCAGGTTTGGTATTGTAACAGATCCTTTGCAATTCACATCGACCTGTTAGTTTCCTGACCACGAATTTCAGGCAGCGCCACAAACATTTGCAGTAGAAGTACAGGCATACCTGGACAAACATCCTGGAAAAAGAAGCAGCCTGAAAATAAGAGTCTTGAGCAGAGTTTGTTTCAACAAGGTCACCACTCAAACAGAAGGTACTTCCTCACCCCAAATTCCCATTGCCAAAGGACACCTTTAAAGCAAAAGCAGCATTCACACTGCAAACGTTTATCCTGGTAAGTGTTAAATCATGCTTTTTAGTCTTACCCAACAGAAAAACCATGGACAAAGCACCAGAACTGGAAGCACAGAATAAGTCAACTCCAGAGTTCTCAAAAGAGCATTTCTAGAAAACTCTTTGTTCCCTTAAAATAAAAGGCCGTATAGTTCCTACTAATGGTTTGGGGAAACAGGACTACATGAGAAGGGAGCACAGCTCACCCTGTTATCATGGCTGCTGAGGATCCAGGGAGCCACTACACCCTGGCTTAGCTTTGCCTCTGCGTCCAGTTGCTCCAAGCAGAGTGTCTGGTTATCCTGACAAACATGAATCAACACTCGTGTCAGGTCCCCAAGAGTGAAGAGTGACAATTTAGGAAACCAAAGCTTCCCCTCTTCAGGACAGAAGGTGTTCAAGAACCTGTCCTAAGGACTGCCAGTTCTTCCCAACATCAGATGTTACACAGAGCTGATGCTGTGCAATTTCTCAAAGTATGGAACTGACAGTAAGCCAAGAAAGCCCTTATTTAGATATTGCATCCAGTTTTGAGCCCCAGCAACACAAGACAGACTTTGATAAACTGGATGGATTTCAGTGGAAGCCCCTGAGATGGTAGGGCTGGAGCACAGACCCTGCAAGGAGAGGCTGGGAGAGCTGGGCTTTTCCAACCTGGAGCAGAGATGGCTTCAGGGGGACCTAACAGCAGCCCCCAGTGCCTGTGGGAAGATCATGGAGGAGACAGAGCCAGGCTCTTCACAGTGGTGCAGGGCAGGAAGGCAAGGGACAACAGTCATAAGCTGAAACATAAAAGGCTCAGCCTAGATATAAGGAGAAGCTTTTTCCCCATGAGGATGGTCAGGTAGTGGCACAGGTTGCCCAGAGGGGCTGTGCAGCCTTCTTCCTCAGATTTTTTTAAGCCCTGACTGGAAGAAGCCCTGAGCAGCCTGGTCTGACCTCAGAGCTGACCTGCTGTGAGCAGGAGGTTGGAGCAGAGACCTGCTGAGGTCCCTCCCAGCCTGAACTATCCTGTGATGCTATGAAAGCCTGAAAAAGGCTGCATACATGAGAAATGCTCTATTTTAAAGTTTGCTGGCATTGCAGCTGCTACCAAAGCCCACATACTGCTACCACAATTACTTAACACGCCCCAAAAGCGGATTTCATGGGCTACAACTTATTTGGACACAATTTAGCTTTCTTGTTTCTACAGCTATGAAGGCACAGATCCTGCCATGTTACCCAACTGTCAACCCCCACGGGGTGCACCAGGACTTGAGGTGGGGCAGGATCCACCCAGGGTCCTTGGGTTCAGAAGCACACCTCAAAAAAGGCAAATTGCAAAGACCTGACAACAGGAACACTGCCATCTGGACACGGTCCTGGGCAACTGTCTCTAGGTGGCCCTGCTAGAGCAAGGGGGGTGGACTAGATGACCTCCAGAGGTCCCTTCCAACCTCAATGTATTTGTGATTATATTCCATGATTATATTATGGAAGAACATCAGTACAGCTTTGACATGCTAGCTTGCCACTAAATGGTCAAAAATATTTCAGTCCATTATGTTCTAAGCCTGTATGTATCTGTATTCATCATTAGCCCACTATCTCCTCCCCGTGCTGTTGATGCTTTCAAAGGACAGTTATTTTTTAGGACATTCCGTATTATCCTTTTCAATGGAGTGCACTGGTTATTCTGAAATACTGAATTCCAGATACTCAAATCAGTTATAGCTTTCATAAAGCTCGAAGAGCTCCATCACTTCCCAGAACATCCTGAAGGGCATGGTGTAGAAGGACATTCAGGGAAGGGAAGATAAGTTAACTCATGTTAATGTCCACACAGGAGTTTAATCTGCTTTATGTTCACTTTAGCTTAATCCCCTTTGAAGGAGGATTAAGCTAAAGGAACTAAAGCCATTTTATGTATAAATGGAAAGTATCCACGCAAGTATTTAACATGCTTTAAAAGCATCCACTTTATTGTCACACTTTTAGCTAATTCACTTAAGACTCCCAAACGCCTGCATGCAGGCAACCCCCTTGTCTTTACGCAACAGGAAGCCTCTATTTTAGATACAAAGTGAAACCTAAAGAATGAGGAGTCACTCCCACGCTGGAATCAAGTTTTAGGCAAGCAAAAAAGTTTCAGCTGCTGACACCAAAATATTTGGGTGTCATCCCCCCCAAAGATGTGCCAGAACACACTACTGTGAGAAGTTTGTATGTGCTTCACAGCAGGTGATCACCTTCAGTATTAAGAACAAGACCAGTTATCAGGAGGCAAGTCCATCATCAGCCAAGCAGCCATTCTTTAAGTTTCCAACAGTCAGAAGTGTAAGTCAGTTAAAGAGTCAATCTCACATAAAAGTCAACTAATGCCTTCAACTGCAACCTTTAATAGTGGCTTGAAAAAACCCACAGGCTAATACTGGGCATTTTGGTTTTTTAGTAGAGATCGGATATCAACCTTCACAGATTTGACTAGTCCACCATCCCTGAAGAATCAAAACACAATCTATAGCCATCCCTCAGCACAGCACAGCTCTGTACTCAGGCTGAAGGTCCAGAGAAACAAATACAAGAGATTAATGCCAAACTGGAAGGTGGAATGTAGTAAAACAAAGTTCTGGCTTTTCACCATACATTTGTAGTAAGAAGTTAAACTTGCTTTCTTTTTGCCCGCTTTGTTTCCAAAGGTTAGGTCTCTATTAGAGCAACTCACTGCCCAGAAAGCTCATTTATACCAAAAGAAGGGAGGAAAGACTCAACTTCATGTTAACAGCCCATGTGAGAAGATTTCCTTCTAACAAGCAAGGTAGCTCCCACAAAAACCACACCTCCTTTAAGAAAGCTCATGCCTACATTTAATTGCCTCCAGGGCTGAAACATCACAACCCATTTCATCACTCAAACCCTTGTTTCTTACTGTATTGTGTGATGTGGATAAATTTCTGGGGCAGTGGGGGGGTGGTGGTGTAGGGAAAGACGCAACAACTTGTTAGGTGCATTTGAATTATATGTTGCTGCTTTTAGGCTTAATGACAGATTTGCAAATCAAAGGAAAAACTCTGAATGGGATTGACCTGTGATCTTCCATGGTTGCAACCACCTTCCCCACTGAAGTTTTGCTTTGGCTATGGTTTGCACAAACATTAACTAATAAAAATGCGTCTACCAAAAAAAAGTCACTACAGCATGCAAACACTACATCTGTGACTCACTAAAATATACTTAGCAGCTATTACTAATAAAACAGACAAACACTAGTTTTGACTAGGTAACTTATAGAAGAAAGCCTTTGTGGATACCTTCAATTTTCTACTACTCAGCCATCTCAAGCTTACAACAGTTGAAATCTTCTGTTTGTAACATGAATGGCATAAAAAGTAACACAGGTCTGGTTTCAAGGGGTTGTTCTTTATAAAAGGGAATTCTTGCTTGCAGAAGTCCTGTAATAAAAGCACACTAGTGATTAAATAAGACAAATTTTATTTTAGCTGCTACGCACTTCAGTTCATGTAAGCAGAGTGGAGACACTGGCAGCTATAAAACAAAACAGAGTATCATGAACAAGAACCCACACGGAAGCGCAGCATGAGCCACATGTCTGACTAATGCTAATGCACAGTGGCATTAGCTTCTGGTTTGTTTTAGAGTCTGATTCCAAACGTCCTCTCCACTCAGTCTCTTCTGCGTTTTTGGGTGGGTTTTTTTTCTGCTTGCCTTTGAAGGTTTTCTCAGCACAGAAAATAGGTGTGCTTCACTAGCAGTTTGTGTAGTCATGTACAGCGATACTTCGGATCCTGAGGTGAGCTTTAAGAACAGAAGTATTACAGAAATGAAGATGTTCCTCAGAGACTTGCACTCTACTCTTCCCCATCCTGATACAAGCTCCTTCTCCTCCTTCTGTATTACATACAGCTGTACAGACCTACGGATTTGTGCTTATACACGCAAAGTGCATTACAAGAGTTCATACAAACATTTGTTCAGATAAACCAAAGAAAAATCTGCATAATAAGATGCTGATGTGCTCAGGCCCAATCAACAGGCGGTTCCCTTGCCAAGGATGCTGTATGAGTGGAAACACATGCAGCCATCCTCCCATGAGGAGTCAGGGTTTTACACATTCCCAGTCGTTGTTGCCAATCGCTTGGACATCAGAAGCTACCTGTTAGCTCCTGAGCAATACCAACACAACTCAGCATAGTTCTGCCAACTTGGCTCACAGAAAGGGTCACTAAACTCTGAAGTCAATACAACAGAAAAATGTACTTGTTACTTGGGTTCCAAGACAAAAAAAAAATATCAGAACGAGAAGTATTCCCTTGCATGTCTGGAAGAGACTTACAGAATACTACCCAGTGCTTAAAGCTACTACCACAATAGCCTGAAGTGCCACAAAACAAAGTCGTCTTCTGTATAATTAGCAAACATCACTTAAGGGCTGGTATATGCATCTATTTCATCTCTCCTTATTCCTTGCTCTTCTACTACTTTTAACTCTTTCATATCTTCCCTGCTGTATGTCACTATTTCTCAACTCTAATTTTCTGCTAAGAACAGCTTCAACCAAAAAAAGTACCTTGCAAGGACTAATAGGAATGCTGCAAAACCAAGTAAGCAACCAATCTATATCAGCAATAACAGAGCTCTCTTCCATGAGGGAGGGGATGAAGAAAGGGGGTTCTACAATTTCTAGGATCCTTGCAAGACACAGAGAAATTTAGAGCCAAAAAGAGCACAAAGTAAGAATACCACTGCTGCAGTCACAGCACTTCTGTTCTCAACAGCACACGCTGCTCTGCCTGGGGTAAGAAAGCACACAGCAGCAAGCAGCAGAGAGAACCGAGCATGTT